TCCATCAGATTTTGAATTTCCTCCATATTCTCGTGAGTAGCATTAACCATAAGAGATAGGTCATCAACAAAAAAAGAGCACACTGGAATTGCCTCTTCCGGTATACTAGTAACCTTTATTCTTTTAATATCCTTATGATGTCGCAAATTTGCCGCCAATGCCTTCATAATTATGATAAAAAGGAAAGGAGTCAATGAATCTCCCTGTCTTACTGATCTTTCTAGTGGAATGAGGGGGGCTACATTATTATTGACCATAGCCCTTGTTGCATTGTGATGCAAGATTCTCACCCATCTTCTAAAATTTGGACCAAAATTAATCTTCTCCAGACATTTGTCCAAAAAAAGTCAATCGACATGATCATATGATTTCTCAAAGTCGATGAAAATAAAAGTTGCATTGTGCTTGGATTGACGAGATATTTTAAGAAGTTCATTCACTAAAAGAATATTGTCCTGAATGTTCCTTCCTGTTATAAATCCTGTTTGGGATGGGTGAATGATTTATGAAATTATTGTAGTCATCCGATCTGCCAGTGCTTTCGCTATGAATTTGTATACCACAGTAAGAAGGTTTATTGAACGATAATTTTTTATATTTGCCTTATCCCCTTTCTTATACAGTAGAGTAAGTACCCCTTGTCCTACAAATTCTCCCATTTCACCCGATTCTCATACTGCCTTGTAGTATTCCATAAGATCTTCTGACATAAAATCCCATGTTGATTCCCAAAATTCCTTTGGGAATCCATCTATACCCGGGGATTTATCTTCCTCCATCAATAGGAGTACCTTCCAAACTTCTTCCTTTGCAAGAGGCTTATCCATCAATTCCTTCTGTTTCTCAGATAAAGATTTATTCAATGGACAAAGAAAATCTTTCATCTCTAGGATGCGATGTTCTCTAGGAATATGATTATTTTGTGAGGTGAAAAGAGATTAAAAAAAATCTCTGGCTATTTTAGAGCAGGCCGCAGTCGAGGTAACGAAGTCCTTATTGGGGTCTACTGGGTCCTCCATCCTAGCAGGAGGGGTATGAGACCTGGTGAGTTCTGGTGGGAGGACTGAACATCTGGGCTACGATCTTTCCTCTGTGGTGCGAGGAGAGAGCTGAAAGGTTGGTGGTTTTTGTTTTCCTCTCGTCCTGTGTTTAGGCCAATCAAACTTTTCTCGTATATTCTTAGTCTAAGTTCTTATGAAATTTTCTGATGGGTTTCTGTTTATGATCATGGAGATTGTGGATAGAATGTCAGGGGGGAAGGAGAAGGTGAGAACTGAAAGATGAGAGGAAGCAAGGGGGGTTCAACATGGGAAGGGACGTCTGTCTAAGTAAGTAGGTCAGAAGGACAAAGTTGGGACGACGCAGACTGGTGCTGGTGCTTTTGCTCTATAACCGGAGGGAGCAAGGGGTCTGTGGAGTTATGTCGAGGGAGGAATGCATAACCAGTTTGTCCGACGTAGCTGATGCTGGGGGTTTTCCCTGTAACTTAGGGGCGTGTGGCTAATCGAGAGTGTCGAGGGAGGAAGGCACTCTTTGCCGTCTGAACCAGGCTGGTCGGTACTGGGGAAGTTGTCGAGGGAGGAAGGCACTCTTTGCCGTCTGAACCNTGCCGTCTGAACCAGGCTGGTCGGTACTGGGGAAGTTGTCGAGGGAGGAAGGCACTCTTTGCCGTCTGAACCAGGCTGGTCGGTACTGGGGAAGTCAGTGTTGCTCTATAACCCTAGCATAGGGGGGTATGAGATCAACTGAGTTCTGGTACGAGGACTGAACGCTTGGACTTAACGTTTTTTCGCTGGCGGAAAGGGAGGTGTAAACAGTAGGAGGTTTAGTTAGGATCTTCTGTTTCCAGGTTGGATTGTGGTCGGGTAGATCATAGGCAGTTTTTTCTGAGAACTGCAGTTGTTTCTCATAGGTAATCGACGGATTGTTTTCCTAGCCGAAGCCGGGTAATGGCCCCGGGACTTCAAAGGTGTTACATATTCTGAGTTGTACTTCAAAGGGACGCTGAGCCCGGTTCTCAGCACGTGATGATCCCCACGAATAGATTGGAGCTTTTGTCCCAAAGGAAAAAAAATAAAAATAAAATAAAATAGGGGGACTAGAAGTCCACAATGGCATCTGGTGGAGACTGGCGCCCAGCAGCAGGGTTGAAGAGCCCCCCCTCTTGCTCATAAATCCACAAATTCACACTGCTCAGTCAATCCCCTGCTCAGCAGGGCAATCAATGCTGGCAGGAGGCATAGCTCACACCTCAGTGGATACACTAAAAGCACAACATTTCATGTCTTATGGGGCGCTGGACCCGATTTCCAGCAGGTGAAGCTCCCCACTAATACACTGGAGCACCAGGGTGTACTGTAGGGGTGAATTATCATATCATCGCCCCTAGCAAGGAGCCGGGATTTCCCTTCAAAAAAAAAAAAAGAAAGAGGGAGGGAAGGGGGGTGGAAGAAGAGAGGGGATTGGTGGTTGCGGGCAGGGAGCAGGAGAGACCCTGGGTGGGGGACTTGGTGAGAGGGAGGGAAGGACAGGGGGGCTGGTGAGGGAGGGATGTAGGAGTGGGCATACTGTTTATATTTCCAACTCCGCGAGGTGACCCTCGGCCAAAACTGTCATACGTTTGTTTTCCAGTTTTCTGTTCTTCTTTGGGGCAACTACACGGAGGTCACGAAAACAGTTCAAAATTGCACTTCTGGCAGTCCCCCGAACATAACACCCCCCATCTTGACCGTACCGGACCGGCAAGCTAGCTAGTATACATTCAACGTATTCAGGCCGAATGCCTGAAGTGCAATTTCAAACTGTTTTCGTGACCACCGCGAAATTTCCGCTTTCTCTTTTTCTGTGCTGGGGCTGCGCGAGACCCTGCCAGGCATGTGTCCTGGCACAACTTCATGCCTCGGGCGCACAAAAAATAGCCTAGGTTATAGCGCTATAAAGAGCGTTAGCAACAACCATGCCACCCACTACGTTCTCTTTCTCTAATTAGAACAAGAAACTAGGGAATAAGGGCTGGAATCAAACCGCTTCCCAGGTAGTGGATGGTTGCCTGATCCATCCATAGTATAATACCCTCTTTCCTGTTCCTACAAGACCTTAGACATAAAATCTGCAGACCTGTCCACCCACCTGGAGTCTCCTTCCATTCAGACAAACTTCTATTCTCATAAAATTCACACAGCCACTGCCTGCCATTTGAGGCATCAGGATTCCATTGAGATGTCTCACTGGAAAAGAGGCTTCCTTGTTCTTTCGGATTGCATTTTTCAGAATGTTTTTGTTGCCTCTCTCACCATCCTCAGCTGCAACTCTCTCCTATCCCATTGCTAGTGGAACATCAGCCTAAGCGTATAACATAGAGAGACTAGTGGGTGAACTGTATGAGTCATGTGGGCATTGGCTCATTTCAGACCACCTCCTACCCTGGAAGAAATGGACAAACTAGTGGGTGCAGTGCATCAGTCATGTGGGGATTGGCCCACTTGAGACTGCCTCCTCCCTTTGGAAGAAATGGACAAACCAGAGGGTGAAATGGATGAAACACATTGGTTCATGTTTTTTCCTTTCTTTTGAGAATTATATGTGATACCCTGGAAGAAATGGACAAACTAAGCACCTTGCAGCACTACGCACGGATTGTGAGGGCTCACGAAATCAAAAACTTCGCTTTTGCCTCACGCAAACTGCGAAAACGAACGTACCACAGACACAAACGGACAAAGAGGCTGATCCCACCTCTAGTAGGCGAGGCACTTTTAGGGAAATTTCGGGATCCCACCTCTTTCCGCGCGAAGCGGAGAGGGTCCTCTTTTTTCGAGGAAGTGGAAACGATCCGGGACGTGGCAAGCCGGGCGCATTTGCAGGCAACAAAGTTCTTTTGAAAGGCAAAAGACGACCACCCCGTACCCTTCCCCGAAAAAGAAGGCGGGGTTTTCCAGTTTTCTTTTTTTTTTTTGGATGTCCGCATCAGCCACTTGAATCGTCCGCTCGGCCAAAGGGCTGTGTGACGTGAGGAGAGTGCGAACTGGCATGCGGCCAGCCGATGTCCCAGCACACGGCCACACGGGCCCCGAGCACTGAAAATTTGCTGACCGGGCCAACGGACAAGTCGGTCTGGGGCTCGCAGTGTGCACCGTGGGTGCCCCTCTCGTTCGCTGTTGTCCTGTACTGCCAGTGCCCATCCCATGTCGACTATCGTATTGTGCACCTTCCCTCTCCGTACCACACTCACGTTCAAAGCAAGGCAGTCGAAGAAGCCATCTCCCGCCATTGCTTTGTGGCAGCAGCTTTCCGCCACGTGGCCGCCGGTTTGAAGTCCGTCGCTTTCGCGACGTGGCCGCGTGTTGGTAGCCCGCTGCTTTCCGCCACGTGGCAGCTTTTCGGATAGTCCGGCACATTCTGCCACTTCGCCACTTTTCAGATCGCACGGTGAATTGGCGCGCAGTTCGATCCTTGCCAAGTGGCACGACTGCCGGATCCGACTGTACATTGGCGCACAGTTGGTTCCTTCGCTTTCACATTCTTCTCCAGTTCCAAACCGTGGAGCCCAGCGTCGTCGGCACATTGCAGACCAACATCTGCTCACAGCGTCCGTAAAAGGTATGGATCACTCTAGACAACCTGTGCATAGACGATCACCATCCCCGTTGCCGGCTCCCATGGACACAGGCTTGCAGGAAGTCCCGCCATCCAACGCAGGCATTGGCAGTCCGGCGTTCCAAGGTTTGTCCGCCGCTACAGGACCATCGGCTATGGCACGCGTTGCCACATCCCTGCCAAACGGTTTGCCACCTTTGCCAACTTTCAAAAATCTGCACGCATCTGTGTACAGTCCCGGGAAAGAGCCATGCAGTATGACCTCTCTCCTTGCGGAAGGTGACACTTTTGGAGCAGCGCGATATGGAGGAACGGGAAGATTGAATGCAGGCGTTCAATCACCGTATCCGAACTGGGGGGTGGCATGTGAGGGTGGGTTCGCACATGATGGGTTTAGCATGGGGGCGAGCAGGGAACGGGCACAATGTGGTCCTCCCCCGGTGCCTGCATACTCCATTTCGGGAGGGGTGGGTGGGAGGTCACCAAACACGTACGGGGGGATGGAGAGTCACTCTGTCTTTTGCACACTCGCCACCGAGCTGCACTGAAGTTCGATCACAAAATTTGTACTCTTCAGACACCGGAGTTTACCGTGGTGCCGCACCCATGCCTGGGGCGCACGCGTACGCGACGCGTGTTGATGTCCCCATGGGCAACAATTCTCATGATTCGAGTGGAGGAGAGGCCACCATCGACGGGGCCTTGGGTGGCGCTTCCACAGAACCTGCCGTGGACATTGCTGGGACCCAAAGTGGACGACCTGCGACTGTCGACATCGACGATGAAGGGGGTACTCGCTGTAGTGACGCCATTCTGCGAGCGGGTCGTGGAAAAAGGGCCGTAGGGGAGGAGGGGGGAGGTCGTGGGGGCCAAAGCAAGGGCAAGGTGAGAGTTTGGGGTCCGGACTGGACAGACAAGGAGCGCATGGCGCTTGTGAGGCTGCTGTTTGAGGAGGACTGCGCGCAGCAAAGCAGGCGAAGGAGGCAGAAGATCAGGGGGAGACGGGAGAAGTACGATTGGATAATAGGGAAAATGGTTGAACAAGGCTTCCCGAAACGCGACATGGAGGACTGCGAGGCAAAGTTCTATGCCCTTCTTGACAAAGCAAAAAAGATCCGGGATTACAGCGGCGAATCCGGCAAGCCGAGCTACTGGCACATGTTGAAAGCTCTGCAATGGAAGCTTGGGAAGGCGGACGGCTCGTGCGAGGACATGATGCACAGTGTCAATCTGCAGAGAGGGCAGACGAGCACGGTCACAGATGATGAAGACACCGGCGGCAGTAGTGAGAATGGAGGGAATCGGCGAAAAGCGGATAGTGACAGTGCAGAGGGTGCCAAGTCTCGGCGGACCGGGGGTGGGAGCGGGCACAGTCGGCGTTCTGTGCCAGAGAGTTCAGCTGACGCTTCAAGGGGAGGTTCGTTCGCAGACATAGCACATGCTCTTGTCAACGCGAACGACCGTCATGCTGACAAGATCGCAGGGAGTTTTGCGCATGCCATGGACGGAATGAACAAGACCATGGCGGATGGTAACAACACGCTGTTGCAACGCTTCGCTATGCTTTCAGGTGCGATGCTGGGACAACCGCCATCTGTTCCTCTGGGGGGCAACACACATTATGACCGTGATTGTCGCGAAAAAGATGGCCGGTGATAGTGACGTCATGTGACATGGGTGGACCATTGCAGCTGTCTGTAATCAGTCCGTTTGTGTCCACATATGTAGTGTTCGGTTGCATGTGTGTGCGTGTGAGTTTCTAATTATTAATTGTTTTTCTAAAGTTTTTGTTATCCTGTCCGCACACTGTACGGGTTCATAGCAGCGGCGGTTCGATCTGACGACCGTCCGTATGCATGTGCGATTCCTGATGGCTTTCTTGCAGGATTCCTGAAAGGGAGCGCACACGCGTGGTGGCAAAATGTCGTCTTCTCCGATGCACGGTATTGGCGAGGTTGTGGACATGGCCGGAGATTTCGCGCTAACCCACAGACGGCGCATCGAACAAACGCATGAGCTTGCCCGGAAGTGGGGGGTGTTGTTCACTCGCGTGTCGAGTATGGTCGAGGATCTGCAACGTCTGCAAGGCGAGGTGGAGAAGGCAAACGTGAAAGAGGGGCTGGCGGGCTCAAGAGCCGAAGCTGCGGAGCAAGCTGTTGCTTCTCTGAGGGAGGAAGTGGCACGCCTGCAGCACCAATTCTCACTTTACGAAGGGGGCTCCAACTATACCCCTGTAGAGCCCGATAGTTTCGTCACAACTGTGCAGAGCCCCGGCTGCAGGCGAGGTGGAACCGTCGCCAGTGTCACAGTCTCGGTGGGACACATGCGACGTGACTCGACTCAACGCACACCTCTGCGGAGGCGGGTGCCCGCTGATGCCAGATCGCCTTCGTCGCTGCCAGTTGAGGAGAAGTATGTGTATAGAGGGCGATTCCGTGACTGGGTCTTGGTAGCTTTGTGTTCCAGGGCAGCCGTTCGAAGTTGCACACGGCCGTTTTTTTTTTCCTTTGTTTTTTGTATCCACGCTTAAAATACTGTGTCTGTTTGTTTGGGTTGCCCGCCTATGGCTGGCGACGTGGGCATGCAAGTCTCTTTGAAGGTCTGGCGGTTACGATGTTTGCCGTCCTGCTTCGTGAACTGATGACTCAATATCTTCGTTGTGTTTTGTTTGCCAAGTGGAGCAGTCTATTGGCGTTACAGTACTGTTTTTTTAAATGTGGACCAGCGACATCTTTCATGTTTCGCAATCGGTTCTTCGGTGCAAATGTGTGATGGTATGCCAAGTGTTGGTGTGTGTTTGGATCACAGGTGCAAAATGAGCATTCCCATTGTTTTTGTTCTATTCCCACTACAAAAACATGATGGCACATTGTGCCATCTGCTTGTGTGACATACAGTACGCATGAGCTTTGTTTGAAATGTGCAGCTCTGGTAATTCGACATTGCAATTCAGTGATGTGACATTCAGGCATTGACTGATCTTGTACATGATGCAGCACAGCATTTCTAGCCGTGACCAATAGTGAAAAAAAAAAAAAAAAAAAAAAAACCATTGACTTTCAAAGACACGAACAACGTGGCATTGTGTATCGAACAACTGCTCCATGCTCAGAATATGCAGCCTTTGAATAGGAAAACATGCTTTCGTTTGATTGAAGTGTACGGAAACCGTGGCACATGTGGAATTGTCCCAGTTGAAGTTTCATAAAAAGATGCATGCAAAATATCTCTTTGGAAACTCTCTCTCTCTCTCTCTCTCTCTCTCTCTCTCTCTCTCTCTCTCTCTCTCTCTCTCTCTCTCTCTCTCTCTCTCTCTCTCTCTCCATCTATCTATCCGTGTGTGTGTGTGTGTGTCCGTGTCTATGCCCGTTATCCTCGTGCAATCTACCCTACCGCTGCTGTGCACCAGCGTGAACACCCAAAACTCGAGAGACATGAAGAGCATGGCGGACGACAGAGGATCGGAGAGCAGTTGTGGCGTCGTGGCGAATGCGATGGCTAGCGTACAATGTACAGCCTTCTCTTCGGAGCTCAGCCTCGGCATAGTCTTCGTCATCGTCCGCATAATCACCTGCAGGTCCATCGTCATCGTTGTCCTCGTCGCCATCTTCCCTCCCTCTCCGTTGTAGCAATTCTTCGTCGACGGGGATGCCTGCGTCGATAATGATGTTGTGCAGGATGCAGCATGCAAAGAACTGGTAACACACGTTCTGCATATTAGCAATGTGTTTCCATCCAAAGCAATGCCACATTCCTTTCAACCGCCCAAAGCACCTTTCGATGACATTGCGGAGGGCAGAGAACTTGTTGTCAAACGATCTTTCCTCCACAGTCCGATCAGATCCTCCAAACGGAATCATCAGCCACGGAAGGATAGGATACCCAGCGTCCCCCATCAGATATCGTCCCATTACAGTACCATCCATGAGGATGTTTGTCCTCCGAACGAAAGGCTCCGTACCCTCCTCCCCACGGCTGTACAGATCGGACAGGCGCAGCACATGAGAATCGTGCACCGCGCCGGGGGCCCCGACGGTGACGTCCAAAATGCGCAGGTTCTCATCACACACCACTGGTGCGACGATGGAGTACTGCCTATTTCTGTCGAAATACGGTTCAGCCTCGCCGTTACGGAGCTTGTCGATATGGATATGTGTACAGTCAATCACACCGAAACAGCCAGGGAATCCTTTCCCTTCATAGCAGTGTCGTACCCCCGTTCACCTTTCACGGGGTCTGTGACCGGAGACCGGTCATGCAGTTCACGGAGTTCACGACACGGGAGTTCATGG